AAATCCCAGGTATTAAACATCAGCAACTATCTGTTGGGAAATAGAAAATAGTAATAAGACAAAATTGTATTCATATAGCAATTTCGTGTATTTTAATAACAATTCTCTCAATGTAAAGCTTGACCGTATGAAAAAAAAAAAACATCTATTTTTTTCTTCGTACTTCTAAATTTCCCTGCAGCTCCTGCCACTTCAAGCTCTCCTTCAACTGAGTTTGAAACATCAGCTCCTACAAGTGAGTATTCTTATTCATGGACAATTGAGCAAATGTGTGAATAGGAAAATGAAAATTCAGTTCATTATTAATGTGATATGTTTTACTGATTTAATTGGGATTCAGATTTGATGCCATCTCAGGTTTACTTTGAGCAGAAAACTGCACAGCTGCATCCAGAATTTAGAGCTCTGGAATATCTGCAAACATTATATGAATTGGAAATTGAATGATTGCTACAGCTGTTTCAGGTGCAAGAATCACTAATCACTTGCTCCTCTGTTGTAAAATAGGTCTAAATGTGATTGAGAATCTCACAGTAACTGAAATCTCCACATCATTTGTGCTTCTGAAATGGGATGAGCCAAGGACTGGGAATCGATTCCAAAAATAATCGATTATGAGGCTTTGGGAATCGAGTCGATTCCAAAGGTTGGAATTGATCCCATCAAGGGGAATCGACTCCTCATTCAGAGCCATTTTCAGTTCAACAAAGCTTGTCTATGGGTGCCTCTCAAACGAAAGTCTGGATCCTACAAATCTCAGCTGCAATGGAAACCCCCTCCATCTCCCGAACGCTCGAGGTTGGATGATTGGTTCCTGGGGGTGCCACAGGCCGATCGTCGGCAGCCACCTCCAGTTCCATTCTTCCCGGAACTGCATGAAGAAGTTACTAGATCTTGGAGGGCACCTTTTTCTGCCCGAAACAGAGCTAGTACTTCTTCCGTCCTCACTGCCCTCGACGGTTCAGGGGCATTCGGTTCACCTCTGTGCCGAACAAGGATGCTCCCGTCTTGAGAGCGGAAATCACAGTCCTGCTGGCGAAGGACATGATAGAGCCGGTCCCTCCAGCCGATATGAAGTCAGGGTTTTACAGCCCCTACTTCATTGTACCCAAGAAAGACTGTGGGTTACGGCCAAGCCTGGACCTGCGCGTTCTGAACCGGGCCCTTCACAGGCTCCCGTTCAGGATGTTAACGCAGAAACGTATCTTTCAATGCGTTTGTCCGCACGATTGGTTTGCAGTGATCGACCTGAAGGACGAGTACTTCCATGTTTCGATCCTCCCTCGACACAGGCCGTTTCTCCACTTCGCCTTCGAGGGACGAGCATATCAGTACAAGGTCCTCCCCTTCGGGCTGTCCCTGTCGCCTCGTGTCTTCACCAAGTTCGTGGAGGCAGCCCTCGTCCCATTGAGGGAAGGAGGCGTTCGCATTCTCAACTACTTCGACGACTGGCTCATACTGACCTAGTCTCGAGCACAGTTGTGCGAGCACAGGGACGTGGTCCTCAGCCACCTCAGCCGGTTGGGGATTCGGGTCAACTGGGAAAAGAACAGGAGGGCGGTTCCACTGAAACAGTTTCAGAGGCTCCTGGGGCATATGGCATCCGCTGCCGCTGTCATGCCGCTCGGATTGCTTCATATGAGACCGCTTCAGCATTGGCTTCACGACTGAGTCCCGAGATGGGCATGGCAACGCGGCACTTACCGGGTCTCAGTCACCCCGTCCTGCCGCCAGACTTTCAGCCCGTGGTCGGACCTTGCCTTTCTTCGGGCAGGAATTCCCCTAGTGCAAGTGTGCCACTTCAAATCGCTGCTACACGACAAGCACGTACTGGTCCGGATGGACAACACTGCGACCGTTGCGTACATCAACCACCAGGGAGGTCTACGCTCCCGTCGCATGTCGCCATCTCCTCCTTTGAAGTCAGAAGCATCTGAGGTCGCTTCGCGCCGTTCACGTCCCGGGCAAGCTCAATCATGCAGCCGACGAGCTCTCACGTCAGCACGCCCTTCCGGAAGAATGGCGACTCCACCCCGAGACAGTCCAGCTGATCTGGAGACGCTTCGGGGATGCTCAGGTAGACCTGTTTGCCTCTCCGGACACATCCCACTGCCAGCTGTTTTACTCCCTGTCCGAGGGTACCCTCAGCACGGATGAGCTGGCCTCGGGGCCTACGCGAATATACGTTTCCCCCAGTGAGCCTTCTCACACAGACATTGTGCAAGGTCAGGGAGGATGAGGAGCAGGTCATCTTAGTAGTGCCATACTGACCCAGTCAGACTTCCCGGTGGGAAGACCCCCATAGATGCCCGATCACGGTCGTGCTCTCCTTTCTGCAAGAAGGGATGGAGCGAAGGCTGTCTCCCTCCACCCTTAAAGTGTATGTTGCCGCTATTGCCGCACATCACGATGCAGTAGACGGCAAGTCTCTTGGGAAGCGCGACTTGGTCATCAGGTTCCTTAGGGGGGTGAGGAGGCTGAATCATCCGCGCCCCCACCTGGTACCCTCTTGGGATCTCCCCTCGGTCCTGATGGCCTTGAAGGAGGAGCCCTTCGAACCTCTGCAGTTAGTAGAGCTTAAGTTTCTGTCGCTAAAGACAGTGCTCCTCACTGCATTGGCTTCGGTCAAGAGGGTCGGGGACCTGCAGGCATTTTCTGATCGACGATACGTGCCTTGAATTCGGGCCGGCCGACTTTCACGTTGTCCTGAGACCCCGGCCTGGATATGTGCCCAAAGATCCCACCACGCCTTT